CACACACACACACACACACACACACACACACACACAGTTTAAGAACAGAATAACTTGTAAAGTTCTTCAGCAGTTTTGTTTTTTCCATGTGAGACATCAGCTTGACAATAATCCAAAGTTTTAACATTTTCAAACACACACATTTGATGTTCTTTCAGTCTCTAGATCCACTGGTTCCTGCGGAGTGGGCGGGGCCAGAAGGAGCTCCGCCCATCATTAAAGAGTGTCCGGGCCAGTTGTTTCAGGTTGGGCATCTGCTGCAGAAGCTCAGGTCCAGCCTGAGTGAAGACAATGAAGACATCCTGCTGGAGACGTACCTGCAGAGCTGGGATCAGCTGCTCTTGTAAACTACTTTATAAAGAATATTTATTTATTGAAGAATCTGAGACCCTCCAGGACCCTTCTGGTTCTGGCTGATGGTTTTAGGTCAAACCAGGTTTGGTCCAAGTAGGATCTTTAGAGAACTTTAAATATGTCCTTTCATCCTCAGTTTCATGGAGTCTCTCGGGACGATGGTCAGTTTCTTCTCTCAGAAGGTGAGAGAAAAGGTGACGCTGATCCGGGAGCTGCCACTCAAACACAGTTTAAAGGCTGACTCCGCCCACCTACGAACTCCAGCAGCATTCGGATTAAGACATGGAGTGAGACCAGCTGTTTGTCAGTAAAACCTTACAGAACCAGATGGAACTGAAGCTGATTTTATTCTGAATGGTTCTGCTTTAACAGGCGTATCGATCTGTTCGATCCATGGTGGAGGCGGAGCTACGGGCGGGCGTGGTCAACTTCCATCGCCGCACAGATTCAGGCAGCAGAACCCTGCTGAGGCTGCATCGATCCCTGCTCTGGTTGAAGCTGATGTTGGAGGGTTTGTCTGAAGGACCGGGAGCCGATGGGCGATACAGAACACCTGGAGAGCTGAGCAGGTAACAGCTGGCAGCTTTTATATCAACTGAGGTCCAAGTCTGACCAGGTCCTAGTCAGACCAAGTAAGAGTCCAACCAACCTGAGGAGCACTGAGTCAGAACTTGACATGATCTGAGAGAGGCCGATGTGGACCGAGTAAGAGTCTGAAAAAGTTCTAGTCTGAGCCGGACGGGGTCCGAGTCACAATCTGACAAGGTCCGAGTCTGAAGGTTTGGGCTTGTTTTGCAGCATCAGGACCTGATGGACTCCATTTAATTCAATAATACTTTAGGAGACATGTCCAGGTGTCTCTG